GTGTGTGCAGGGGGGTGTTCGTTATGAATTAAATGTCCTTAATAACTACAGAGGTAGTGAAATTATCTATTCCAAATTAGATGAGTTGAGGTAGTGTGTGTATGTGTGTGTGTGTGTTCTGAGACAGAGTCTCGCTCTGTCTCCAGGTTGGAGTGCAGTGGTGTGATCTTGGTTCACTGCAACCTCCGCCTCCCGGGTTCCAGTAATTCTTCTGCCTCAGCCTCCCAAGTAGCTGGGACTACAGGCACATGCCACCACGCCCAGCTAATTTCTGTATTTTTAATAGAGACAGGGTTTCACCATGTTGGCCAGGATGGTCTCCATCTTTTGACCTTGTCATCCACCCGCCTCAGCCTCCCAAAGTGCTGGGATTAGAGGTGTGAGCCACCATGCCCGTCCTGTAGTTTGTGTTTTTTGAGGAATCGGTACATTTTATCTAAGTCATCTCAGATCTAAATTTATGGATGTAGAGTTGTTTGCAGTATTCCCTTATTGTCCTTTTGATGTTTTCAAGATACGTAGTGAAAGCCCCCGTTTCAGTTCTGATAGTTGTAATTTGTGTCTTTTTTCTTCCTTGCTTTGTCTGTCTTTCTAGAGGTTTGTCAATTTTATTGATCATTTTTAAAGACCAATCATTATTTCATTGATTTTCTTAATTGTTTTTCTGTTTTCAATTTCACTGATTTCTACTTTTATCTTTATTGCTTCCTTCCCTCTGATTGGCATAGGTTTTTTCCCTTTTTTCTAGTGTAAGCCTTTAATGCTATAAATTTTCTTCTCAGCACTGCCTTAGCTCTATCCCACAAATCTTGGTATATTTTATTTTCATTTTCACTCAATTCAATATGTTTTTAAATTTCCCTTGACACTTCCAAAAAAAGACTTTCCTCTTTATGTTTAGTTTCCAAGTGTTTGGAGATTCTCCTGTTAACCCTTCTGGTACTGATTCCTAGTTTGATTCCACTGTGGTCATAGACACTTAGTATGATTTCAACTTTCTTTTTTTTTAATTTATTTAATTTTTTTTAGAAATCAGGTCTTGCCACATTGCCCAGGCCAAAGTGCAGTGGCTCTTCACAGGTGTGATCATAGTGTACTACAGCTTCACGTTACTGTGGTCTCAAGCCATCCTCCCAAGTAGCCAGGACTACAGGTGCATGCCACCACCCCCTCAGTATAATTTCAATTCTTTTAATCATATCTTTATATGTATCTTTACATATATCATTAATGCATCTTTTTTTTTTTTTTTTTTTTTTTGAGACAGAGTTTCACTCTGTCGCCCAGGCTGGAGTGCAGTGGCACGATCTCGGCTTACTGCAACCTCTGCCTCCCAGATTCAAGCGATTCTCCTGCCTCAGCCTCCCAAGTAGCTGGGACTACAGGCGCCCGCCACCATGCCTCGCTAATTTTTTGGATTTTTAGTGAGACGGGGTTTCACTGTGTTAGCCAGGATGGTCTCGATCTCCTGACCTTGTGATCCGCCTGCCTCGGCCTCCCAAAGTGCTGGAATTACAGGCGTGAGCCACTGCACCCAGCCCATTAATGCATCTTTACACATACCTTTAAATGCATCTTTAACGTATTATATATTTTATAAATTGGGTTTATTTCAGTGTGGCCTACCAATATCCTCAAGGGCTTGTTTGTGAGTACTTCCAGCTTCTGGTTTATTTGAAGACATTAGCTCCTTTAGACATTTTATTAAATTGGGCTATTTTCCATAGCAAGCAACTGAATTTTGGATTAAAAAGTCTTTTTCATCTGCAGTATTGAAATTTTAAATGCCATCAGCTTTTTCCTTTCTTTCTTTTTTTTTTTTTAAATGGAGTCTCACTCTGTCGCCCAGGTTGGAGTGCAGTAGCACGATCTCGGCTCACTGCAACTTCCACCTCCCAGGTTCAAGCAATTCTCCTGCCTCAACCTCCCAAGTAGCTGGGACTATAGGCGCGCACCACCACGCCCAGCTAATTTTTGTATTTTTAATAGAGATGGGGTTTCACCATGTTGGCCAGGATGGTCTCAATCTCTTGGCCTTGTGATCCACCCCCCTCGGCCTCCCAAAGTGCTGGGATTACAGGCATGAGACACTATGCCTGGCCCAGCTCTTCTTTTGATGTTGCATCTTTTTTCTGTCCCACACTGTCCTCAAATGAGAGAGAATTGGGAGATGGCTAAGCCAAGGGGTCCACGGGGGAGGACCATCTTCACTTTGCTAAAAGTCAGCTAAGGAGGCCATAAAACATACCCCTGCTTTCGCCTCTCTATCAATCTTAGAGAGCCAAGCACAAGAAAAAGGCAAGATTAGGATCACTCTCTAAAAAAGCCCCTAGCTGGTAAGGAATGTAAACCTGGCAAAAGATTTTCCAGGAAAATGGGTAAGATGCAGAAGACGGAGAGGGACAGGGAAAGTTTCCCATTTCTTCGATTGTCTTTCCCAGTGCTGACTGCCACCAGTTCCCCACAGTGATCCATTACCTCACTCCAGGCCCTGGCAGTCCCTTGCTTCATTCTGCAGCCCAGGTGAGCTGGCCTCACACATCTTGCAATCTATATTTCCAAAATAACTTATTCACCAACTCCTGTAAAAAATACTAGCCTGCACCCATACCCTTTACTGGCTTACTGGGAGCAGGGGGGATGCCCATCCACTTCCAGAGGCTCTGATGAGCAAGCCAGGGATGTTTTCCCAGCGAAGACCCAACCCTCTGGCCCCTCCTGCTTTTCTCCCCAGCATAAACACAAAGCAGAGACCAAGCTCCCAGCAGGATGACCTATAAGTGACCCTTGGACTGACCTAACACTCTGGTCACTCTCACCGACAGATTTGTTTATCTTGGAACCTTGGAGCCTCTGCACCCAAAAGCTTCGGCCCTAGACTCTAAGTCCGCCCCCAGCAAACTGTCAGTCACAGCTTAAGTGCATGTTGGGCAGTTGCATGACAGCCTTAGTTTATTTACCAGAACCTGATGTTTATGCTGTCCAGCAATGAGTAGGGGCCATCAGCTGCTGAATTTAGTAAGCAAAGAGGCAACTAGACGTCTCCAGTGGCCATCAGCCTTCATGCCCACAAAATTATCAGGGAACTCCAATAGTGTGCCTTGCTGCCTCCACCCTCAGAAATTAGAGGTCCCCTGGAGATCCAAATTTGGCATCTCCATCCAAAGGACGGATCTGTGTTGAGGCCATTTTCCTGAGAGCTTTTTTGTTTGTTTGTTTGTTTTTTGAGACGGAGTCTCACTCTGTTGCCCAGGCTATAGTACAGTGGTGTGATCTCAGCTCACTGCAACCTCTGCCTCCTGGGTTCAAGCAATTCTCCTGCCTCAGCCTCCCAGGTAGCTGGGATTACAGGCACGCACCCCCATACCCGGCTAACCAAAAGCTTATTTTTATGAAACTTATGTGGCATAGCTATGTCTAAGGCGAGAAAGAAGCTTTAGCTTCTAACCCTGAGTGCATGATGAAAAGCTTGTCTGACAGTACCACAGGCATTGTTTACAAATGAGAGTGACATTGTGATATTTACCTAAAGAGAGACAGATGCTTCCCAAGTTGTGGCACTGGATGGAGGGATGATCAACAAATTCGGAGCAAAATGGAAATCAAATTTTTACTTTTTTTTTCCTCTTTGCCTAGGCTGGAATGCTGTGGCACAGTCATAGCTTACTGCAGCCTCGAACCCTGGGCTCAAGGAATCCTCCTGCCTCAGTCTCCCAAGAAGATAGGACTACAGCCATGTGTCACTAATCCTGGATAATTTTTTGTAGAGACAAGGTCTCACTATATTGCCCAGTCTGCTCTCGAACTGCTGGGCTCAAGTGATCCTCCCACTTCAGCCTCCCAAAGTGTTTGGATTATAAGTGTAAGCCACCACATTCAGCCTGAATTTTTTTTTTTTTTTTTTAGGTGGATTTCATTTTCTCAGATACAATCACTTAAGGAACCCCAGTTATACTCCTATTCACATTTCATTGGTAATCCCAAGGGGATTATGGCTGTTTGGAAGATTGAATTCATTCTTTCTTAGACCATCTCTACACAGTGTCTTTAAGAATGCCTTTTTCAAATGGCTAAGTAAGGTAAACATGAACTTCTAAATAAATGAGGCCGAACGAAGAAAGATGACAAGGTTGATTACTGAGGTGGGCTTTTTTCCCTCCTCTTAGCAGCAGATTTTAAATAGATCTGAACCTTCAAGGACTGCTTTTATTTGGTAGACAAGATGAGGGGAAGGAGAACTACCCCTTCAGCGGGCAGTGCAGAACAGGGACTCTCCCCGTCTCTTTATCCCATTAAAGTCCTGCTGGTCAGTGACTCACAAGGCCCCTCTATTATCAGCCTTGGCTTAAATAAACCTTCTGCCCCTGCACCCACCCGCCTCCCTCCAAGCTGCAGGCCCCATCCATCAATGTCACCTTTGCAGAGTGGCTGCCATGACAGTTCATGATCATTAACCAGCCCTGGTGTGCTTTGTGTTAAAAGTTAAGACACATCAAACGCAGCAACTCCCCAGTTCCTTAAAGTTACAGGAGACAGGGATGCACAAGGGCTGGGGCCCACCAAACTTGACGCACAGCTTTGACAAGAGGTGAAAGACGAGCCCTGGGTTTAAAAATGCCTCAGTGTCCCTCCCTGCCCCCAACTTCACTCTCAGGGACAGAAACCAGGAGGACAACAGACACTGAGAATCGGGCTAAAGAGCAGCGATAAAACAATGTGAGCCATGGACACAGCGGCCCCGCTCCGGAACCCCCAGCTGCCCTGTGACGTGGTCCCCCACCCCACCCCGAACAGACAGGCTGCTCCACGGAGAGAACCTCACAGAGAACGTGCCCCTTTCTCCTGCACCCTCATCTCCTGGGCCTTCCTCCTCCCGGGCTCAAATCCCTGTGAGAAATGGAGGTTGGGCAGTTTCTCTTTCCGCCTCACAAAGGTTTAGAACAGCTGAGTAACAGAGCACGTGAGGGGTGGTGTTTGTGCCTTTGGGTGCCCCTGCTTACCTTTCGTGATTTCCCTCGGGGCCGCTGTTTAACGAAGACATTTGCTTTTCTTATCATGACTTTTCTGTGGCAAGGCCCAGCTTGGGGAAATGACCTTGAGAAGAAGTTGGAAGAGGGAAAGAGGGAGCTGGCTCTGCCCGCCAGTATGTAAAAATTAAATAACAAAAAGAGAAACAAACAAGCAACCCACAACCGCCCTGCCACCCAAGCAAATGTATTTGCATGTGATTCTCCCGTCCCTCTATGCGTTCACATGACATATACTCTGCCCCTCCCACAGGCCGGGCATTGAGTTAGGCCCCAGGGTATAAAGAACCAAAAATGGGTTATAACTCTTCAGGAGCTTAAATTCTATGAAGGTAGACAAAATACCTACAATAGATACAGCCATTGGGGAACCAGAAAAAGGAGAAAGGGGATCTGTTCTGACGCGATGTGTGGAGAAGGCTTTGGGGATGTGGCCAATTGGCCAAATCTCAAGGTATGAGCAAGACTTCAACAGAGAAGGAGGAGGAGGTGGAACAGCATGAGCAGAGGGAGAGAATGTATGACAGCTAGCATTCATTAAGTGTGCACTGAAATTCAGGCAGTACACAGCATGTTGCACACCTGCACTGTAGCCACCGGCCACAGTGCTCATGAGCACTTGAAATGAGGCTGGCCTGAATGGAGATGTGCCCTGATGAGTAATGCACACCAATGGTTTCAGTGATTTAGTATGAAAACAATGTAAACTATCTCAGTAATAATTTTATATTGATTACATGTTAAAAATGATGATATATTGGATGCATTCGATTAAATAAAATATATTAGTCAAATTAATTTCATCTGGGGCCACGCTCGGTGGCTCACACCTGGGATTCCAGGTGTGATCCCAGGAGGCTGAGGCAGAAGGATTGCTTGAGCCCAGGAGTTGGAGACCAGCCTGTGCAATATGGCAAAACTCCATCTTTACAAAAAATACAAAAAATAGCCAGGCATGGTGGTTCATGTCTGTAGTCCCAGCTACTTGGGAAGTTAAGGTGCGACGATGGGTTCAGCCAGGGAGATCGAGGCTGCAGTGAGCCATGATCACACCATTGCATTCCAGCCCAAGCAACAGAGCAAGACCCCGTCTCAAAAAAATAAAAAAATAAAAAATAAAATAAAAAATAAAAAGGCCGGGTGCAGTGGTTCACACCTGTAATCGCAGCACTTTGGGAGGCCAAGGTGGGCAGATCAAGAGGTCAAGAGATCGAGACCATCCTGGCCAACATGGTGAAACTCCGTCTCTATTAAAAATACAAAAATTAGCCGGACATGGTGGCGCTATGTAGTCCCAGCTACTCAGGGGGCTGAGGCAGGAGAATCTCTTGAACCCAAGAGGCAGAGGTTGCAGTGAACCGAGATCACACCACTGCACTCCAGCCTGGCGACAGAGTAAGACCCCATCTCAAAAAAAAAAAAAAAAATTCAACTCTTTAAGGGAGTAAAGTGACATGTAAGGATCCCTTCACACCTGGCCACAATGCCCGCAATTCTTCCTCATCACCATTTTATTGGATTCCCTAAGAGGTTCCCAAGGCATCACAAACATACATATATACAAAATTTCCCTTCTTGTACAAATGCTGTGGCCTCTTTTTCAACTGTTTTATATATGGACTAATAAGATTTTGCTGAAGAAGAGATTTCTCCTCTTTAGAAAAGTTTTAAAGCTACTTACTCTATCGTCTCTGAGGTCCTTTTGAGTTCTGAAATCCTTGGACTTTGAAGTGTAATTTTATTGTTTGGTTCTGCTTTTCCACCATATTGTTGGTCATCGGTTTGATTTATTGGATGTGAAATTCTCAGCCAAGAATAGGCCCTTTATTAGAACATTGCTCCTATGGGAAAATATGATTTACTTTACAATAGGTCGCTTTATGACATAGAGTAGCTCCCTGCAACATAAAATGTTGAACTGCATGGTATTTTTGCCATATGTATTTATGAATCCAATGGAAATGGAAACAAAATTATCTTTCTCTTACTAAAAAGAAGAATAAAGCTTCCTGCTGCTTTAACTGCAAATGGCTTTTGCATCATCCTGTGTATTTGTATGTTTCAAATCTCAGCCCCCAGCCTTTCAGTAGTTCATTGGCTTTAGGTACGTTCATTATTTAACCTCTGTCTATCTTATTTTCCTTGTCTGGATCACAGGGATAATCTTCTCTACCTCACAGGATTAGGAGGAATAAATGAAATAATGTAAAGGTGCTTAGCTTAGCTCCCTAAATATAAAAAAAAAATGTAATTTATTATTATTATTGTACTTACATGTATTGACCTCTGCTATGTGCATAATATATAAAGATGCGTAATTTTTTTTTTTTTTTTGAGACGGGGTCTCACTCTGTTGCCCAGGCTGGAGTGCAGTGGTGCAATCACAACTCACTGCAGCTTTGGCCTCCCAGGCTCAAGCCATCCTCCTGCCTCAGCCTCTCAAGTAGCTGGGGCCACAGGCACACACTGCCACACCTGGCTAATATTTTAATTTGTTGTAGGGACAGGGTCTCACTATGTTGCCTAGGCTGGACTTGAACTCCTGGCTTCAAGCGATCCTCCCACCTTGGCCTCCCAAAGTGCCAGGATTACAAGCATGAGCCACCATGCCCAGCCAAAGTGGATAAATTTTATTGCCTATCTCATAAGACTTTTTGTGGATTAAATGAAATAATAGCCATTAAGCCTTTCTGGTACCAGAGGTATAGTAATCATTCAGTATTATGGTACCGTTAATTCTTGGAAAAACACGGGATTAGGAGTGCCAACTCCCTCCCCAGTCAAAAATCTGAGTATAACTTTGACTCTCCCCAAAATTAACTACTAACAGCCTACTCTTGACCAAAAGCATCACCAATAACATAAATAGTCAATGAGGCCTGGCACAGTGGCTCATGCCTGTAACCCCAGCACTTTGGGAGGCCAAGACGGGTGGATCACTTGAGATCCAGAGTTCAAGACCAGCCTGGCCAATATAGTGAAACCCTATCCCTACTAAAAATTCAAAAATTAGCCCAGTGTGGTGGCACATGCCTGTAGTCCCAGCTACTTGGGAGGCTGAGGCAGGAGAATCACTTGAACCTGGGAGGCAGAGACTGCAGTGAGCCAAGAACGTGAAACGGCACTCTAGCCTGGGGGAAAAAAAAAAAAATTCCCACAAAAAAAAAAAAAAAAAAAAAAGTCAATGAACACATATTTTGAATGTTATATATATTATATACTATATTCTTATGATAATGTAAGCTAGAGAAAAGCAAATGTTGTTGAGAAAAATCATAAGGAACAGAAACTATATTTACTATTCATTAAGTGGACGTGGATCATCATAAACATCTTTATCCTCATCGTCTTCACATTGAGTAAGCTGAGGAGGAGGAGGAGAAGTTGGTCTTGCTGTCTCAGGGGTGGAGAGGAAGAAAAAAATCCACAAATAAGTGGACCCCCAAAGTTCAAACCTTTGTTATTCAAGGCTGAACTGTATATGCTTGTAACTTTTATCTTATAAGCTAAAACCTTTCAACTAAAACAGCATGATATATACAGTTGTATACTTACTGCAAAAACTAATGAGATCATCAAGCTGACATTCTTTTTTTTTTTTTTTTCCTCTAAGATGGAGTCTCTCTGTGTCTCCCAGGCTGGAGTGCAGTGACCCGATTTCGGCTCACTGCAACTTCCGCCTCCCAGATTCAAGCAATTCTCCCTGCCTTAGGCTCCCAGGTAGCTGGGATTACAGGCACCCACCACCATGCCCACCTAATTTTTTGTGTTTTTTAGTAGAGACAGAGTTTCACTGTGCTGGCCAGGCTGGACTGGAACTTCTGACCTCAGGTGATCTACCAGCATTGGCCTCCCAAAATGCTGGGATTACAGGCATGAGCCACCACTCCCGGTCATCAGGCTAACATTCTTAATGCTATCCTAAATTGGTGCTACTCTAAGGGATTATTCCCTCATCACATTTGGCTTTTACACTCACAGATGAAAGGTGACATTTAATACCAAAGAATATTCACTGCTCTTCCATGTCACTCAAAGGCCTCACGCATGCCATCTCCTTAATTCAAATCCTCATCAGACTCGAAACCAAACCCATTCTAGACACCATTTTATAGCTAAATAAACTAAAGGTCTGTGTCAGCTAGGGACAGAATTTGGGTATTTTTTTTTTTTTTTTCCTGAGGCAGAGTCTTGCTGTGTTGCACAGGCTGGAGTGCAGTGGCGCGATCTGGGCTCACTGCAACCTCCGCCCCCCACTGGGTTCAAGCAATTCTCATGCCTCAGCCTCCCGAGTAGCTAGGATTACAGGCGTGAGCCACCACACCCAGCTAATTTTTGTATTTTTTAGTAGAGACAGGGTTTCACCGCGTTGGCTAGGCTGGTCTCAAACTCCTGACCTCAGGTGATCTACCAACCTCGACCTCCCAAAGTGCTAGGATTACAGGCGTGACCCACCGTGCCTGGTCAAAATTTGAGTTTTCTTTGACAAGATCCTAACCTCACACCATCTTCACCACAGGCCTCTAGGCTTAGATAAGTGGTTTTCATACCCTGGCTCTGGTTTGTAATTGAATTCTAAAAGAGCCTGCTTGTGGCTCACGTCCTCCAGGACCAAAGGACTCAGAACCTCATGAAGGTTCATATGAAGTCAGTTAAGTGAGGACACCAGATAGCAGTTGGACACCATTTAGGCTGTTTGACCCAAAGTCTTGTGAAAATATTCCCGCGGGGGAAGAGAGGAAGGTGAGCAAGGGTTGAAAAACTAACAAGTACCTAGGTGATGGGATCATTCGTATTCCAAAGCTCAGCATCACACAATATACCCAGGTAGCAAACCTGCACATGTATCTGCTGAATCTAAAATAAAAGTCAAATAAATAAATTAAATATTCCAGCTTGGCATAGTGGCTCATGCCTATAATTCCAGCACTTTGGGAGGCCAAGGCAGGAGGATTGCTTGAGCCCAGAAGTTTGAGACCAGCCTGAGCAATAGAGCGAGACCTCTATATCTATTTATTTGTATTATAAAAAAAATTTTGGCCAGGTGCATGTGGTGGCTCATGCCTGTAATCCCAGCACTTTGGGAGGCCAAAGTGGGCGATTGCTTGAGCTCAGGAGTTTGAGACCAGCCTGGGCAACATGGCGAGACCCCGTCTCTACTAAAAAAAAAAAAAAAAAAAAAAAAATTAGCCAGGAGTGGTGGCAAGTGACTATGGTCCCAGCTACTTGGGAGGCTGAGGTGGGAGGCTCACTTGAGTCGGAAGGGGGTGGAGGTTGCAGTGAGCCAAGATTGTGCCACTGCACTCCAGCCTGGGAGACAGAGCAAGACCCTGTCTCAAAAAAAATAAAAATAAAAATAATAAATAATAAAAACAAATTTTTAAAAATTCTGGGCCGGGCACAGTGGCTCATGCCTGTAATCCCAGCACTTTGGGAGGCTGAGGTGGGCAGATCACCTGAGTTCAGGAGTTCGAGACCAGCCTGGGCCACATAGTGAAACTCCGTCTCTAGTAAAAATACAAAAATTAGCCAGGCATGGTGGCAACACGCCTGTAATCCCAGCTGCTCAGGAGGCTGAGGCAGGAGAATGGCTTGAACCTGGGAGGCAGAGGTTGCAGTGAGCCGAGACTGCACCACTGCACTCCAGCCTGAGCGACAAAGCAAGACTCCATCTCAAAAAAAAAAAAAAAAAAAAAATTCTCCTAAAGACAGACTTAACTGCATGCTAAACATGCTAGATGGACCTTGATGAAACTGATAAGAGGAAGGGCAAAAGGAAAAGATTCTCTTTTCTTTTCTGCCACATACTGCAGACACCGCAGAACAAGTGAATGTGAGCTTCAGGTGGAAAGTTGTAGTCACCTTGAAACCAAACCTTGGGAGTTCTGAATCCAAAAGAAGAGATGTCAGGTTTCTGAATGAGTGACAACAGGCTTTTGTTGGTCTTGTAACGTATTTTGGCACTTCCCCAGTCCTGTTATTTATGGGGTTGTACTTTTGAGTTTGGATTTATACAGATGTTTGCCGCTTTCATCCCAAATGGACTTTTCACCAACCCTAAGAGCATCCCTGAGGCAGGTGAGGAGCAGTGCTCTCACCACTTCCTAGCAACCCAGGCACTGCCAGGCCAGGCCGACCCGTTCACTGACTGCAAGGGAAGAGCGACAGGCAGAGAGGACACAGTGGCCCTGCCAGTGCCAAGGGGAAGAACAACGTGGTTGCTGCCCATCAGCACCAGGACACAGACGGGAGAGGTTAAAGGTGAGGAGGTGAACGCTGCGTCTCCCTGGTCCCTCGTTCTAGAACCACTCTAACTCCCAGGCCAGCTCAGGGAAGACAAAGAAACCAAAACACACGGCTTCCTAACGTAGTTGCTACGGCGTGTTGGTGGTGGGTCTGGAAATAGGTAGAACCATTTTGGAGGCAATTTGGCAGTGGCCACCAAAATGTAAATATGTATTTCTTTTGACTCAGCAATTCTGCTTCTAGAAATTCCCTCTACTGGCATGCTTACCCAAGTGCAGAAGAATATTCCTTGCAGCAATTTTATGTACTGTAGCATCTTTTTGTGAAATTAAAAACTAGAAACAATCTAAACGCTCATTAATAAAAGAGTTGTTACATAAATGATGGGGACAGATCAATCTATGCCGTTGTTAAAAGGAGCAAGAGGATCGCTTGAGCCCAGGAATTCAAGATCAGTCTGGGCAACATGGCGAGACCCTGTCTCTATATTAAAATAAATCTCTATATAGAGACATGAAAAGATCATTGAGATTGTTCTGAAAATACACATTCATGACTAATGAATCATACTCTGCCACCCTGCAGTAACACTGTATGCCTTTTTAGAGAAGGCAGGGGAAGTGAAGCAAAAAGAAATGAATCTGGAAGAGTGGCATTTGTAGATATCCTCAGGTGGACAAGGGAGGCTTTAGTGGGGAAAGGGCTCCTCTGTGATGCAGAAACCACAAGGCGGAAGGAGCTGCTGTTCTGCTGGCTGCTAACTAAGCTTCTTCGGTTTGT